GTGTGTGTGTGTGTGTGTGTGTGTGTGTGTGTGTGTGTGTGTGTGTGTGTGTGTGTTGTGGGGGTTGAACATGGCTGCTCACTGATCATGTTAAACTGTCTCCTCCCTTCCTCCACCCGTCTCTTGTCTCCTCCCCCTCCTCGGCGACACGCTCCTCCCATCCTCGCGGCTACACCCTGACGTGCTCACACACACACACGCCGCTCGTGCATCATGCGCCGAGACCCCTCGGAGTGACCAGCAGCCGAGCACGAGTGTGTTTGTGTTGAAATGTTACTGGTCAGGCCTCCCCCCTCTGAGTGGCGGGAAAAACAAGAAGYTAAAATGTGTCAAATTAAAATTTGACTTCCGTTCCAAAGATTAGAAGAGGAGTGAGGGACATTTGCCCTAACTTATCCTCATAAACAGATTTGTTTGTTCAAGTACAAAAAAATGTTTTTAATTCATACTTATTTTTATGATTATTATTTGCACCTCAGAAATAAGCTTTAAAATAACACAGTCTGATCAAGGTCTGTTTTTCATTTTTAAAGTGTCTGTGACATATATCCAAGAATTACAAAAAGTCAAAGAAAATATATTTATATTGAAGAAACTTAGCATTATACACATGATTTTACCCTTTATGTCACATAATTGGCCCATTTTCTTTTGAATTTGGCGCAGCCAAAATGAAACAGGAAGTGACATCAGAAGGGAACTCTTTGAGAAAGAAAACTTCCTGGTTTTTGTTTATTGAAACGATGTTATTAGAACTTTGACTTTTTCTCATCTCTTTATGATAGTGATTAAAATAATGTAAAGAAACATCAGATTTTTCTCTTCAGTCTGTGTTGTTAGCCATTTTAGCAAGGCTCTGTTTACATGCAGACATTCCCCTTTGACATCACTTCCTGTTACTTCACATGCAAATATCTCAACAACTGTTCATCTCAGCGACATGAAATCTTTTTTACAATATTTTATCAATGTCATCTTTCCAAAAATACGTTCATATTACAAAAATTTGATGTCACAGTCACTTTAAGCTTGGTGAAGAAACACACCAAACAGGACCCTTAGAATAAAATTACAGTAAAATAATCAAATAAAGTCTTTTTATCCTCTGAATCTGTTGCTTTCATGCATTTTCATGACTGGACTCAAACAAACCAACTTTCAAGTCAAATAATTTAAAAAAAAATATGAATTATTCTTTAATCCCTGTCCAGCTGCTGTCTGTGTGGACACATGATTTACAGTGTTGTGAAATATTACACTGTATTTTGCTCAGAATAAGTGAATATACAGCATTCATTTCAAACAAGCCTAGAAGCCCTTTCATTACTAATTTCATGCTCCAAAGCATCCCCCCCACGCCCCTCGTCTTTGTGCTTCCATGCATCAGAGCACGTGGTGTAGCTGTGGAAATCTAAAAAGTTGCAAATGTCAACGAGCCCCATTTGGAAAGTGATGTAATAAAAAAAGATGACAAAAGGGAAAAAAAATCTACAGCTGATCTCACTAAAAGTTATCCTCAAATTCACAGACTTCTATTTTCAGTTTTTTTCGTTGCTCATTTTTGTCATTCGGCTCAACAGCAACAGAGTTTTTTTATATCAGCTTAGAGGTGGGAAAAGGCTGAAGGAAGTTGTTTCAAGTAAACTACTTTTTAAAAAGTGTAAAACGCCCACTGGAAAAACAGAAACTGTAAAATGTCAGACAGTAATAGAGCTGTTGTCATGGTAACCGAAGGCCAGTTCATCCTGTTTTGCTGACCATCAGAGGCAAAAAACAAGCAATCATCAGATTTGAACCTTGAACACGTCTCCCTTTATCATATTCACTTTTCATCTTCTGCGCCCCTTGATCTTGTTCTTTCATCAGTTTTTTTTATCTTGGCACTTGGTTTTACCAATATACTCCTCCTAACGTCCTTTTCTTATGTTCAAGTTCTTGTTTTGTTTCCTGTTTTACACAGGCTTTTATATTTTAGAATCCCTAAACACAACTCAGTTTGTATTTAATGAAGTAATTACACAAAAAGCACCAAAATCTGAAGCTCTTTCTCCAACTTTGTCATTTCCTCTCACGCAAACTAACTGCCGTAAAACGTTCTCAAAGCAGAATAAACATCTACAAACTCTGCCGCTTATTTATTGTCAAGTCGAGGAGGCAACGGGTCTGGGAGAGAAACCCAGACCTCCCTCTCCCCAGCTCATCCTGGGGGACCCCAAGGCGTTCCCAGGTCAGAGAGGATACATAATCCCTTCAGTGGGTCCTGAGTCTTCCTCGGGCCTCCTATCTGTGGAACGTACCAGTGGGCATCCTAATCAGGTGATGGAACCACCTCAACCAAGAAGGGGTGTCTGCAGTACATGTTGTCTTGTAGGCAGAGACAGCACCTACCTGTAATTGATGGAGGGTTTGATGTGGGCGAAGTTAMCCCTAATCGTGATTGGTGGAGGTTTTGATGTGGGCGGAGTTAACCCTAATCGTGATTGGTGGAGCTCTCGATTGATTGACTGATGATGCATTTTATTGTCATTGTACAGAGCACAATAAAATTAGATTTAAGAACACCCATTGAAGACAACACACATGATAAAACATGGGGGAACTGGTGAACAGGTCATGCGGCAACCAGCAGGGGTCGCACTACCTTGAAAAAGAAAAACAAAATACCACACAAGGATAGACGAGGGGGAAAAAACTAAACATCATATTATATCAACGAAATGTGACACACTGGTGTTTATAGAAAAAAAAACCTCTGTAGAGCAAGAGCACACTTATTAGCCAGAGGAAAAAGTGAGTTTAGAGGGTGTGTCTGAAGCCTTGAATGTTGTATACACTTGTGTGAATATCTGAAGAGAGTCCAAAGAATCTAGTCCCCAGAAAAAAGAAGAAAAAAAAACATAGTTCAGCCATACTTCAGAATAATGATGATGAATTGTTCATTTTGTGTGGCCTTCAGATTATCCTTCAGGGACCAGATTACAGACGAGAGTGAGGGGGGGGGGGGGGGGGGGGCTAAGCCACAAGTCGACATAAGCACCAGGAGAATTTAGATCCACAGCCCTTCAAGGCCATGCAGAGGGGAAAGCCCCTGATGTGGGCGGGGATGGCCGTACCCGTGATTGGTGGAGGTCTAGATGTGGACAAACTTGACCCTAATCGTGATTGGCGAAGTTGGTGTGTGGGCGGAGTTTTGCCTAACCATGATTGGT